GTGCAGCAGGCTGTGTGGCCTCGTCTCTGTGCAGCAGGCTGTGTGGCCCTCGTCTCTGTGCAGCAGGCAGTGGTGGCCCTCATCTCTGCATGCAGCAGGCAGTGTGGCCCTCGTCTCTGCATGCAGGAGGCAGTGGCGGCTCTCGTCTCTGCATGCAGCAGGCTGTGTGGCCCTCGTCTCTGCATGCAGCAGGCTGTGTGGCCCTCGTCTCTGTGCAGGAGGCAGTGTGGCCCTCGTCTCTGTGCAGCAGGCTGTGTGGCCCTCGTCTCTGCATGCAGCAGGCTGTGTGGCCCTCGTCTCTGCATGCAGGAGGCAGTGTGGCCCTCGTCTCTGTGCAGCAGGCTGTGTGGCCCTCGTCTCTGCATGCAGCAGGCTGTGGTGGCCCTCGTCTCTGCATGCAGCGGGCTGTGGTGGCCCTCGTCTCTGCATGCAGGGGGCAGTGGTGGCCCTCGTCTCTGCATGCAGCAGGCATGTGCCACTGGACCCTGATTGCCTCCCACACAGCATGCACTTCCTAGATGCCCATCAGAGAGTCAGGGCCTCTATTGTACCCCTTGCCATTTTTAAGTATTTTCTTAAAATATTTAATTGGTATGAGTGGAAACAATCCCAGAGGTGTAGTTGGGAGGAGCTTCAGCCAAAATGTCTATTGATGATGTGTGTGTGTGACGGTCTGGGGTATATATGAGGCCCTAGGTATGATGTGACTGTCTGGTATAAATGGAGTTCTTAAGTGGTTTAGATAATAAAAAGCTGAAGTCAGATAGAGAGAAAAATGCTGAGATCAGAGAGAAGGAGTAAGCTACAATGCACCTTACTTCCTTAGCGTCTCAGCAGACAAAAGAGAGATTTCCTGTTTCTCCCTGCTTATATCCTGTTTCTGCCCAGCTACCTCACTTCCTGTCTGTCTGTACAGACCTCCAGACCTCTATGGTTAGCTAATGGCAAACTCCATTCTCTGACCCCCAGACAGGCTTTATTTGTACAAGCAAGATATCAACACAGTCTGGGGTATAGATGAGGACCTGAGTATGATGTGACAGTCTGGGTTGCTCACGAGGCCCTGGGTATGACCCCATCAACCTCACATAAACCCCACAGGAGGTGGATGCAAGAGGGTCAGACATTCAAAATCACCCTCGGCTACAGGAGGGTGCTCTGAGCTATTTGAACCCTATCTAACAAAAACAAAAAGGGATATAGATTTCTGTCACTGTGGCCTTGAAGTATCCACTGTTTTCTGGCATTCTCTGGGAGTAAAGCCCTTGGCCCAGGACAAAGTCAGTGACTTTGCCTCCTTACTCTGTTGCACGTAACGGTTCTGATTTCTCCATCCAACCCTGACATTGTGGGACTTCCGATGAGGCATTTTGCAAATAGCATCACACTTGTATGCATGATATTTTTACAAGGGAAATAATGGTTTCTAATGAAAGTCTAGTAGACTTAACTAAAGAACAGGGTGAAGTGGAGTTAGTTTATTCAAACCTCACCAAATGCCAGGATTTTATGCTTTGATAATTAAGAGAAGTTTTACCAGATTATTTTGAAAATTTGATATATTGACAAGGAATTACAGAATATACCAATTTGTGATTTTTTTTAACAGCTTTGCAATGTAGCCCTTTTTACCTAGTTTAAAAATTAGTTTAGTTAAGCAATGTCGAATAGCTGATGTATGGGTTGTCTGTGGCTGGAAATGTTATCCAAAGGTTAAAACAGTAGAACAGTATTAATGCTTCCTTGAGCTGGCATAATGAGTTGATGAGTTGACCTTTTATTGGCCTATGTAGAATAGAAGAAATAAATACAATAAATTTCATAGTATGACATTAATGCGGCATTAAAATATGAATGCCGTTGCCTCAGTACCACTTAAGACTTTTCATTCTGAGGAAAATTTTTATGACTATGATATTTCATCCATTTTTGAGCATCAATTGGATGTTTTTAGGGAAAGAGTTCTTTTCCATGTGTGTGTAACATAGCCCAGACCCTGTCCCCAGTAGATTACAGCCAGTGATGGTGTGTAATTTTATCTAAAATAGCCTTCCAAAGTCATCTGAAGAATGCAGCAAAACCAAATATTTCGTTTTCATGTTTTTGTGAAATAAGGGAGTCAAGGTGTTTTATTCATTAAATGTATGTCCATCTTAAAGGACCTGGCAGTATTATTGCTAGTCACCAATCTATTTTATTTTGCCTTCAAATCCCTGAATTTTGCCTTTCCATTAGCAGGGAGCTGAATTCCTTGTAAAAAAAACAAAAAACAAAAAAAACATTAGGACTTACTTGCCTAGTTTTCCAAAGAGATTAAGAATGTAAAGGATTTGAGAGGTGGGTGGGTGGACATAAGGGCTAGCATTAGACTACCTCCATTGTACAACAGCAAATTCAGAAACAGTGTCCAAATATTGTAAAAATCCATTATATGAGTAATTTTATGCTGATTATTTTGCCCTTGAAGCGTTCATATAGTAAAACATGCCATTGATCATGAACTGTCCTTCAAAATTAGCATGTCACTAAGTTCACAGTTCATTATCGTAACACCCATGCAGAACCAGGCAGTACCAGAGTGCTAGCAATGGGGCATCTGAGAGCTGTCACTTCCTCAAATGAAATACGGGAGATCTGAATTGTGAATGCAGTCATGTTTGAGAGATGGCAGAATTTGCTACCCACTGTGATGTATGATACGAACAAGCCAAGAAATAGTATGTTTATAGTGCCTGAAGAGGTTTTAGGGGTTCACTAAAGGATAGCCAAGATGTAACTCAAATAGAATGCTTGTTTACCTGGGCCCCATCTTCTGCTTGGGAAGGAGAAAAGGCTAGCCTTAAACAATGAAACGGGCACCTGTGAGCTGCTGACTCTGTGTGTGTGTGTGTGTGTGTGTGTGAGAGAGAGAGAGAGAGAGAGAGAGAGAGAGAGAGAGAGATGAGATGAGATGAGATGAGGGGGGGAGGGGAGGGAGGGGGAGAGGGAGAGATTAGGACTATAGCCCTAAAAAACACTGATTGTCAAAGATTTAAGGGGCAGGTCTTACAGTGGTTTAATAGCATGCCAGTAAAGTGTAAGTTATATAAGCAAATGAAATTCCAACTAGAATCAGAAAACCAACATAGATAGCACAGAGTAAACCAATAACATTTTAAAATGTGTTCCAAACACGGGCTGCCTTATAAAGCCTAGTCTTCATTGAGCCATTATCCAAATTTACTTTAACTTGCATTTTAAGTTGGGTTTTTTAGTTGAAAATTTGAGCCATTGTTTAAATTTAACCTTTTATAATCTAAGTATTCAGTTTTGAGTGTATGATCTTTTATATATTTCAAAAGCTCAATTGTTTCCAATGAATTCTAGTCCAACTCGAGCTACATAAAGAGTACAAATCAGCCTGGGCTACAGAGTTAGACTCTGTATTAAGAAAGAAAACAAAAACGAAAATTCCGCTGCCTATGTAAACAGAAGATAGTCTTGGAAATGTGTGTCTCATTTCTCAAAAGAAGAAAAAGTATTCAGCACCCTGACCATGAGGGAAGTGCAACTAAGACCGCTTCAGCATCCCATGTCACCGCAGTTGGAGTGCAGCCACATGTGGGCAGGGTGTGGAGAGCCCTGCACTGCTGGCGGGATGCATGTGCAGCTGCTGGAACTTCATGTGGAGTCTCAGAGGACTGTGACCAGCTTTCCCTGGCGGGTCTTTACCTGCAGGACTGACTCTCCAGCAGCACACTGCACAAGCACTTGCACATTCATGGTTCTGCCGCACTATTCACAGTAACGAGAAAGTAGAACCAGGCTAGATTTCCATAAACAAAAATAGATAAAGAGAATGCAATATGTGCACACAGCGGAATTTTTCTCAGCTGTAAAGAGAAATGGCATAACATCTCTAGGGAAATGGATGAAACTAGAGATCATTACAGTAAACAGAACAAGATTTATATCTCTTGTATGCGTGTGTGTGTGTGTGTGTGTGTGTGTATAGATCATGACAAAGGGGACCATTGGTGGGGAAGAAGAGATCTCTTAAGTGATGTCTTGGGCCTCACGGGTGGGCTCTAATCCAAACAAATTGTTGTTCTTGTGAGTGGAGATAGACACCAATCACATCTCAGCACCTAGAGAAAACCACAAAGACACACACAGCCATCTGTAAACCAAGTAAAGTGACAATGGAAGGAACCAGCAGTGGCAACACCTTTATCTCAGAATTGCAGCCTTGAAAACCATAAGAAAATAAAAGTTTGTTCCAGAGAGAGAGAGAGAGAGAGAGAGAGAGAGAGAGAGAGAGAGAGAGAGAGAGAGAGAGAGAGAGAGAGAGAGAGAGAGAGAGAGGTGTCACTTTTTTCTATCATTGTACTGAGACACCATGACCAAAGCAACTTGTAAAGCAAAGAATTTAAGTGGGAGATAACAGTTCCAGAGCATAGTAGAATCCATGACTATCACGGCAGGGAACATGGTAGCAGACAGGCAGGCAATAGTGCCAAGAGTATACATCTTATCCCCAAGTTGGGGGCAGAGAGAGAGAGCTAACTGGGAATGGTGTGGACTTTTGGAACCTTAAAGTCTATCCCCAGTGATATGCTTTCTCCAACAATCCCTCACCTCCTGATCCTTCCCAAACAGTTCCATGAACAGGCGACCAGATATTCAAATATATGAGTATTTGGGGCCATTCTCATTCAAACCACAGCAGGGAACAGAGGTAGTGGAATTTATGTGGCATGAAAACAGGGAGGACTGTTTGAAGAGTTGAAGGGGACCAGCAAAATAGAGGCATTTGGAAGGGGAAGGCAATGAGAAATAGATGAACCAAATATTGACACGAATACATGAAAATTCTGTGAAGCCCACCAAAAATTCTCTAACAAATAGATGTATTGGGTTCATTGGAAAATGCTCAGAGTTAACTTTGGAGAGTATAACTTCAGAGTCATGAGTTAAATTTCTTTATTCTTTTCTGGTGTTTTGAGACCACCACTGCCCGACTAAATTTGTCATTTTTAACCAAAGATGGCATGAATGTTCAGTGTTTCCTTTGCCTCTTTTCTGTGTCCTCCATGTTTTCATACCTAAACCCCCTCTTTCCTAGACTCTCTGGAGCCTGAGGGTTCTGTTACTGTGTCAGTGGGCATTGACTTCTGCGACTCCACACAAACCGCCTGTTTCCAGTTATGGTGAGTTCGGTTGTTCTTCTGTTTTTATAAGCCTGTACATGACAGCAAAAAAAAAAAAAAAACCTTTCAATAGTTTTTCCTATAAGACAAAAATTAAAACAAATGTGGTTTTGTTTGTCAACATGTAACTACTTATACATTGTGTACTATATGGCACTGTACTTAATATTTCTTATGCACATGCCATTACAGTGTGCCATATGTGGTTGAAATTCACAGTTTGTTGGTTAAAGGAAAGGGCTATTCCTATTTTTTTTCTTATTTTAATACTGTAGGTTTAGAAAATTCAAGAGACATGAACAGTTTTAATATTACCAAATAGCCTGGAGAAGGTCCTTTTGAGGCAAAATACCATTTTGAGATACAGTGAGTTTTTTGAGGAGAATGTTATTGATTTGAAACCCACACACTTTCCTCCTTTCACAAACTGAGGACATTTATAAAGTTGTTTAAGATGTCACTACCAGATGTTACTGAAGGTTTTAGTTTCAGACTTCACTGCTTTCCTGTAGTGTGTATCTGCTGATGAACCCCAGAGGCCGATGGGAAATTAGAGAGAGCTACTGCAGCTTTGAGAGTCACCCTTGTGTTAGCTCCTTCTGGTGCTTTTCCCATACAGGGAGTGACTTGTGTTTTAGATGGAAATGACTTGTTTTTCTTTAAAAACTGAACTATTTTATGTATCTGAATTTTAGCCAGCTTAGGATAGAATTTGTTATAATTTAAATTTGCAAGTCAGCATAAAAATACTTTAAAGTAAATATGTAGGTTAAATGTAGCAAACCTTTCTTTGTCATTTTCCCAGAAACTCAGGCCCATGTTATTCTTTTATTGCCAAGAGCCAGCAGTGATGAATATGAACACTGCAGCATGCACATTGATTTTATGCAGATCATCACCTTTATGTTTTGGGAGGTCTGCTTTATTAGTGATATATAAAAACTGATTACTTTTTCCAACATTGCCTAGTAATTGTTTATTATTTTTCTATTAGACAAACAATATAGATCAATATTACTGAACACAGGCTATGAGTAACACCACTCTAAATAGATTTGCTTCCAACACCAGAGGTATATTCATTTTAATGATCTCAACAATGTGAACCCAATGACAAAGCTTGTACCAAATTAGACCAAAATACTCCTTTATCTTACCAGTTTACAATCGGGTGTGTTCTTATTTTTCCATTTCTCCTTAATTACAAAGACTTCTTTTATAGTCTCTTGGACCACATTTGCATTTTTGTCTTCTATAGTTAGCCAAGACTTTTTAGAGAGAAATACACAACGTAGTGTTTGATTTTTTTTTTTTAAACCAATGTTAGGTAGTGTATGTGAACTGTTTTCTTTTAATGTCTTCTAAATTAATTTTAGAAAAATGACAAATGTATCTCACATAGCAATTAGCTTTCTGTTATAAACACATTAATGTATTTTCTGCAGTGAAGGTACAAATTACTGAGTTATTTTATATCTCATCTTGCACAAAAGCTTGCTAGATCAAAAATTATTTTCGTGTGTTCCAAAAAGAGCACTTTGTCTTGCAACCAGTGTGATTGATCCTGAAGCAGTGTAATCACAATTACTCACTTTCTTAATTGGCCTGCCCAAAATCAGAGAATGGAAACCGATCGGCAGTGTTTCAATCAATAGCTTCATAGTAGTGCTCGTAGGGTAGGGAGATAGTGGTAATGGGCAGATCAATCGGACTTAGGTGCCAGTCACTGACTGTGCCTTTTGCATAGTAAGTGGCACCTTTGGCTTAGTGACATGCTGTAATAGTCTCGGTAGTTCAATAAAAGGAAGGGGAGGAGTAAGTATGGCTGGAATTAAAATCTTTTTGCCTGAAATACATTGTATAAATAAAGATGTAAAATTATGGGTAGTAAGAACATATTTGATACCAAGCCTTTGGAAAAGCTGAGAATGTAGACTGAAGCATTTAGGTCCCTTTCTGTTATGAGAAGAATGAGAAAGGGGATAAAGTGATGCTACTTTACTCTAGGTTAACTCTATCATTATGATTAAATGGATGGAGTGAGAGAGAACGTGATATGCAGTTATATAGTCTTACGTATTTCATAAGAGTTTCCCTTTACTTTGCATTTCAAATTACTACCAAAATAAATTCTTGATTAAAATATTTAATTAAAATATACAATATCCATAGATCTATAATGTGAATACTGCATAAACAAGTTCCCATCCCGGTAGTGAGTGGGTAGGACTATATCAAAGATAATATGTTGTGGCTTAAGTTATCTACAAGACAGCACTTGCACACAGTTTTTGTCCAAAATCCATTATAAAGCAAGCTCGTTCATTAAAAGATAAGTATATAAAGAAAGCAATACAGAGACAGAGGGAGAAAAGAGACTAAAAGAATGCCATTATCTGACTTCCCAGAAATAAAGAATTACTGGCCATTAGGAAACGAACAGAAGCAAATAGATACTCAATGAGAAAATGAAAAGCACAGGCTAAAACACTCCTGTAAAAACAAATGTAGGGGCTATCATGCCCAGAGTGGGCGTGTGAAAAGGGAAGTTAGGAGGGTTGAGGAAGCCTTGGGAATTAAAGAGCTACTAATTCCAGCCTCTGCCTCCTAACTTTCCCTCTGCTGCAGATGTTGTCTGAGGCCTGATGGCATCATAGCAGAAACAGTGAGGCTGCCTAGAAAGACTTTATGGATGGGAGGGCCACAGGAGCACGGGTTAAGTTATTCCCAAGGGAGCAGAAATGGTCAGGGTGCAGTTCTGTCCTAGAAGGTAATAGTCTCTGACCCCTCCAATTGAGGGAGAGCAGCCTCAACATGTGTCACCCTCCTGCCTCCTCCGTTTATGCCCATCTGTAGCCAGTCTGTGTCTTATTCATCAATGACCCCCCCCCAGGAACAGGAGTTCAGTTTCTACCATGATAGCAATTGCTAGCATTTGTTAAGTACTTAGACTGTGCTTATTGCTGTTCCAAACATAAGTGTCCACTTGTTTTACTTCCACATTTGTCTTTAACTTTTTATTGTCCCCATTTTGCAGGTTAGTAAGCTTGCGGCATAGGCAAAAAGATATCATAGCTAATGTATAGTAGAACTTGGTGTTTTCTGTTACAAAAATAACTGCACAGTTGGGAATGACCAAGCTTTGGAAAGCTGAAAACTGCAACACAAAGGGACAGCTGAAGATGGATAGAGAGACCAAAGGGATTGGGAAGGAGCGCATATGCAGTAACGTGACACAGCTGAGTACTGATGCGTGCTCTGGAAGACAGGGCCAAGGAAGTAACTGGAGTGGAGAACAGAGCAGAAGGGACAGGAGACTGGGAAATAAAGGAGATACAGAAGGAGAGCAAAGAAATGAGTAATTTAGAGTAAAGCATTTCCCCAAACAAAAGAAACAGCCATCAGATTGAACGGATTAGCAAAGATGAGAATGAAAGATTAAAAAAAAAACCCACATTCTATTAAAGATTTTGGGGGGAAAAAGTCCCCATAGCTTCTACAGTTAAAAACAAATCAGCTTCCCTATAAAAGAACAATGCAAGCCAGGAAATGGTGGAGAACACCTTTACTCACAGCACTTGGGAGGCAGAGGCAGGCGGAGCTCTGTGAGTTTGAAACCAGCCTGGTCTACAGAGGGAGTTCCAAGACAGCCAGGGCTACACAGAGAAACCCTGTCTAGAAAACAAAAACAAACGAACAAACAAAAAAAAAAACAGAAAAAAAAAGTGCAAAAGGAGTGAGATTTCTCTCAGGATCTAACCTTTAAAATATAAGGCCTCAAGTCCACACCCTCCTCTAACAAGCAGGGACTCTGTTTGCCACTTACAAATCCTCTGTGAAAGAGCCACTCAAAGAGACAGTATCGGAGAATTTTCCTTTAAGTCTGATACAGAAAAGATAGACTAAAAGCAGTGAGTAGAGAATTTCACACTGTTGGTGTGGGAAAATAAGTATTGATATAATACCAAAAATAAATGTAAGCATAAGCCAAACCTTTAACATGGACTAGTGTGAGAAAGAATACCTAGCCCTTCTTGTCATTTTTTTAAGTTGATTGATGGCAAACAGGAATTTAAAAGTGGTTTAAAATATGAATTATTATCACTAGGATCATTGAAGGAAGGAAATAAAAGAAACGTGGGTCTTTTTAAATTGCCGTGGGAATAGGTGTGTTGAAGAACATAGCTGGGGGCAAGGGCATCCCCACCTGTGTGCCTCTTCCTGAGGAGACATGAACAGACATCTCTTCTCCTGGCTAGAGGTCCAACTGCTAGAGAAAACAGGCTAAGGAAACAAGTGTCACCTGGGTGACTGGTGAGCCAGTGTGTTTGCTGGGGTCCTTACAGCTCACAGTTGAGGGTTACTAATATTCAGGGACTTGGGTGATGCAACAGTAGCTGCATCATTAAAAAGCCGGAAAGCCCTCCCTGTCGTGGGCAACTCCTTCCCCAGCGGCTGGCTGCTTGTCTACCCTTGGGACAACCCCGTGAATCTTGTAACTTTCTGAGCTTCTTGAGTTTCTTGAGCTTCCTAAGCCTTGGAATTTTGTTAGCTCCCTAAGACCAAGAGCCTCTCCTCCCTCAGTAGCTCCTCTGCGGTCCTCACATACACATTTTCACAAGTCACATCACCTTTATTACAGAGCTAACGCATAACGGTCAACTGTTTAAATAACCCCAACTGGGAGAGGACAACATAGACCCTAGAGAAAAGGGTGAAGTATATGCTTATCTGATGGATGTACTAGAAGAAGAAGAAAGTAGTTGTGGAATGTAATGTTAATATGTAGAATGTAATGTATTGTTAATATGTAGAATGTAATCGTACACTCTGGCATTATTAAGAAAAAAGAGACCAAGATTGGAAAGAGAAAAGATTTTCAGGAATTTAAAAATAATACAATGTATACTTTTCTACTTTACTGGGGTGTTTAGATGAAGTTAATGGTTTCATAGAAAAATATGAATGAGAACAAAAAGACTAATGCGCAAGAACTTCACAAAAAGCATCCCTATGATTGAAAGTTTCCTAG